TTGTAATCCACAAAACGAATCCGAATTTTGATGCCATTTGGATATTCAGATATTCATTCAGACGGTAGCGCAATGCTACTCCGAAATTCAAATATTCGAACACTTCGATGTAGAAAGCTAGTAATTATTCAAAATATCTGTATTATGTGATTATTGGATTATTTACAATCCAATATTGGGATAACGAGATTGCAATTTCAGTGCAATGATCCAAATCAACATTTCTCATACCAACAGTTTGCGGAAATAACATAAAGAATTTATTTAATTTAATGATTAATATAAAACTTGAATTTCAATATTTTTTATAAATTCTTACGTATAATAAAACGCAGGTCGTCTGCGATGACTAAGGTCAGTACTCTCCGAAAGTCGAAACACAGTTAATCGTAAAAATAAACTCGAATTCATATCGATATTTATTGTTTCGGTTTTTTGCTGTGACAACAAAAGATCGTGTATCATCTTCCGCGGTCGAGGCCGAAAAATATTTTTGCCGTTATCAGATAAAACTCAAGCGACGAAAAAATACGAGAGAAAGGAGGGCTTTAGCCAACGCGAATCTGCTGGGTAAGCGCTTTTCCCCGACACCCCGCAAAAGCGGAGAGCTGCGGCGGAGTTCTCGGTTATGTAGAAACATTTTATATAATCCCGTGTCGCATTGGTGAAAAGAATCTCGAAAAATACTGCTGCACTTCATAAGACTTGTATTCTTACTCTGGCCGAACGGAAACGTCAGCGATTTCGTCCACTGCCGTTCCTGTCACTCACTCACTCACTCACTTTCAAAAAAATCGCTCTATAAATCCGTGATTTCTGCCATGTATAATACGGGGAAAAAAACCTGATGCAGAGAAACGTTAAACCGTAGGATTGTAAAATATTATGTCAAACGCTTATTCCTCCAAAAATATTTACCATTGCATTGTGTATTATATTTTTTGTTGTTCGATGTTTTCAGGTCCGTATTTAATAAAAAAATTTAGAAAAAAATATAAAATACGTATAATTTTGTATCAACAATACTTAAATTCTATCTTTTGTATCTTCGATTCAATCGAAATTAATACATATTTTTAAAAATCTAAACTAAATTCTGTTTCTATAGGTCTACATATATAATTCCTACACATCAATATTCTAATTGCGAATATTGCGGTCCTTTGACTCCTATACGCGAATAGCCCCAGGGACTTGCATTATTTAATTATTTGCAGTATTCCATCGCATTAATTAATCAATCTTAGCTTTCACTTGCCAAAACCGATCCACGATCCGTCTTAGCAGTCGCGATTGCCTAATTGGGCTCTACAAAGGATGTTGTACATCACAAACTTGCTAAGCTTTCGAGCTATCTATCTCAAATGCAAGTCGAAATCAAACGGCCACAGAAGCAAATAAATAGATAGCTATGTTTACACTATTATATTGTTAATCCATTAGATAATCCTATTTATGAGAGTTAATCTGAAATCTCAAGAACACACATGCACACATTGATACGAGAATAGCACTTTGTGAACAGTCGTAGCAACGTATCAAAGTTAATATCCACATCCGTTTGATAAAGGTATTTAAAATTATTACACCGAGAGAAAAGTGTTTGGTATTTATGATTACAGTTGCACGGCAAATAATGATAATTAAAAACACCATTTTTATAATTGTTTTATAATACTAGCATAATATTAATAATAATAACACATCAGAATACTATGGTCTAGTCTCTGGATCAAAAGATTTTTTTATATGCCTATGTAATCATAGCTCTGAAACCAAAAAATATATAGCTGGTATCGAAAATGATTACAAATTATAGTTAAATTATGATAATTGCAATTATTTTTTCTTTCTAAAATATCTCGCTGGAGAAAAGGCCCGATTTATTACAATTATCCGAGCTGTATATCCCGCGCGTTTAAAGAGACAACAATGATAAAGACAACAGCGATAGAGGAGGAAATGAAAATTTTTAGTATCCATCATTTGGTACCCCACTAATTAGTCGTTGATCGTAATGAGGGAACGCACGCGCGAGCGGCGACCAGGCGCGCGGATAATCCTGCACGCGCTGGACGATCGCCATCGGCCTGCCGGAGCGTCGCGACGCGCACAGACGGCCGTGCGATATTGCGCTAAACCGAGCAATTACCGGCCGTAATCCCGGTAATAGAATTCCAATATGCGTGCCAATTGGACCGAGTCCTCCCGAGTGCGGGCGTGCAGGCGCGAACCGGCAGGCCGAACCTGCACGCCCCGACGAAAACCGTGACACGGTTCGCCCATTAGCCACGGCCCTCGATTACCCATGAATTGTTTGGGTGCAGTGCACACTGCACACGTGTACCAGACGCGCATACCGCGCGCGTATGCGCGTAATAAGGGGGTGAGCCACAATAAGAGGGTAAGAGGGTCCCGCGACCCCGGAAAGAATACGCGGCCCGGAACTATCATTAATGTATGCTCATTTGATCGCATTTTTAAAAACGTACCAATAGATGGCCCACCCTGTACATACGAGTATACCTCGACCCGCCAATCTTTCGGATCGCACGTTCGACACGTGATGTGGTCATGGTCACTGTTAGCACAATTTCAAAATCTGCTGATCTGGCATCGGACGTGATTACTGCACGCATATCGAGAGTACGACCAGCATGAATAGCATAGATATAGAATAGAACAGGAGGGAAGGTATCTGTCCGGAATCTCGACCGATGTATATAGAGAGCGAGTATTGAAATCGGTACAATTTCGGCGAGTTCAATTCTCGATGCAGACGTGGAATTCGATGCTGTACAATATACGGTAGATACGTAAAAATGTAACCATGCGTCAGTCGTCGCGTTTCATTACGTATCTGTGTGCCCGTAACACTGAACTCCCGAAAATTACACCGGCTGCTATCTATCAAATTTACTATCTCTGTTTAAACAAGCTTTTTTTTACCCTGGATATAACGTTGTCAATCAAGAAGACGGCTTATAAAAAGCATTTTTTTTTTAATAGCATAAATAATTGTAAATAAGTAAAAACATTGAATACATTAGAATTTTTTGAAATACTCGTATAATAAAATAATCAGATTCTTATTACGTACCTAAATTTAACTATTATTGTTCTGTTTAAAATTATCCTATCTGTTTTTTTTTAATAAAATTTCATTCAGGTCCATATTCATCGCATCATCTAGCCGAGAAAAAACGCCTTTGAGATATTCCATGCTTTCATATGTATTCTAACATTGCATATAAAACTACTTACATAGTTCTGAAGCTGGAAAAGCACGGCGAACAGGAATATGGAGAGGAGATGATATCAACGTGGAAACTATTGTGAGCTTCACGCGCGTGAGGAAGTGAAAAAAGGTGAAGGTGGATGTCACTGCGTCATTGACAGTCCCGTCGAACTTCCGCATTGTGCCGCGAGCGTGGACTTTCCGCTTTTGCGCGTTTATTCGCAATCCGTTGTGGGAACGAACGGCGAACGGTGAAATTTCACTCTGAATATACAGAAACAGAACCGATATTACAAACTGCGTCGCTCGACAATGCACTCGCACATTGTGCAATCACATGAAACACTAAAATGTACTAGTCCTTCACTTATCCGATGAAATTTAAACCGATTCCTACGGCGTTTTATCGCAAAAAAAAAAAAACGCTCCAACTCATATCGTTATTGCATGTACAGAATTACACATAAATCAAAACTGTTGAAAACTAACGTCGATTTTTTTCTAAAATCGTATTACATTACATAAGTGATGGATAACAAATGTGAAAGAAAAGCTTCAGACTCTCGCGCCGCGAATAAAAATTAAGTTACTTTACTCTTTCTTTTTCTTGTTTTATGACATTCTTACAATTAGGGCTTTCCACGAAATCCGTGAATGAACCTTTTAACAATTCAAAGACGAGTAGATTACTTGGTAAAGTACCTTGTAAGGTACTTTAGTAAAGTTAGGTTTAGTAAAAATATCGCTCAGTATGTTTATCTTATCACCGCAGAAACGCATCGAGTGTTCCAACTAAATGGGTACGAAACAAAGGACTAAGAGTTGACGATCAATGTACGGGTGTAGTACGGGTAAGGATCGAGAGTTCTACGAGAGGATATACGAGGAGAGAACTCGGGCAAGAGGATCCTTTGCCGTTAATTGGACCAGGTCCGATGATGTCGCCGTGCGAATTGTCGGCCACGAAATTACCCCGATATCTTCTCGCGTCGTCATTTAAAGCCCGAGTGGCACAATCGGACGTCGCTACCCGTGTATTTTCTTTTCCTTGTTCCTCGTCGACGACCCCGAAGGGAGTCCAATTACCCAGACGATGAGACCAACCAGACGAGTTTTCGTCGGGACGAAAATCGCAACGAGAAAACGAAATAAGACGTGAAGAATAATAAAACGTAACGCCCTCGAGGCGGTCTCTTTTTCTTTTCGCTTTCTCTTTGTAATTGTGTAGCTCGCGAACGTTGCACGTCTCTGATGTAAATTATCGATTTTATTGGAGCGCGCGCGAGATAAATTTAACCCCGATTCATTGCGCGATTACATTTAATTGCCTCCAATTAAATCGCCGTTCCAATTAAAATCAACGCGAGTGCAGAGGGTTCATTACGATTTATTGGACCGATGGTAGTGGTCCTTCTCTCCGCCCTTTATCTCGTACTCTTGCATTACGGATTTGTAAAGAAGTGAACCAAAGAAATCAATATGTTCTTTATGCATTATTTTTGCGATATCCTTTCAGAAAAAATGGTATGTTTGATTTCTTCATTTTTCTTTATTTAAACGCTTGCATATAGAAAAATTAGACCGATTTTTTTTCTAACAAATATTTCAATTTGAAAATGATATCATCGTAATTAAAACATTTTTAACATTACTTTTCCATTCAGAGAGAAAATGATATTTTTTTTAAATAATTTCAATATTAAAAATTGTTTTTAATTCAAGACTACTTAACATTACATTTCTCAGAATAACACCGTTTCATCTCGCTAAAACATGAACGTACAAAATATCTGGACGGAGCGTAAAATACCCTTTTAGGCCATGGGAGTGAAGCTTGAGAGATTATGGAAAAAATCCATCTTGAGTGTTCTGTCAGAGGCACGTAGCGCCGTGTTTGTGAACAGTTAGTGTAAAGCGTAGTCTACAATGCAATCGCAAATTCGTCTAAAATTGTAAGAGCGATCGTAATATTGTTTCTAATCGCAGGACAGTTGTATGCGTAGTGACTCGATTCAATTTTGGCGAACCACTCATTGGAAGCATAATACATTGTTCATAATTGATTGATCAGCAGCCTAACTAAGGCACAGAGTGTCCATATCGGTAATTGGATAATTTAATGTAAAAAACTTTTTGGTTAGAGTTCAACGCAACACAGTGGAAATACTCCAAGCATTGATCGCATTGATGAGTGACTGTAGTCAATCGCAATATGATTAAACAAGACACGCTTAACCGAACAACATTAAACACGACAGCATTGTAGACAAGTCAAGTAGTATAATATAGTGTGCCCCGTTCTTTTCTCCCAATCGTTGTCATCTTGATAATTTTACATTACTATTTTTTCCCCTTGAACTTCAATCCCACAGCACTATGCTTCATTCAGATATTTTGTACATTTATGCATCATTGTCATCCCTACAGTAAAAAGCTAACACATTTTTATTTTATATACGAAAATACAAAAGTATATATGTTTATCATAAATATGTATTTAAAAAATCAAAAGAGATTTCTTACGAAGAAATGTTCATCAAATTTCCATAAAACGGGTACGCACAGACGTGGAAGCATTCATTGACTAGTCGGCGGCGAACCGCCGCTGTCATACTGATTCTTGTTTCTCAATAAATAACCGGCGAGGAAACTTATAGGATCGGCGGGTCTCTCTTTGGCCAGACATGACAATGCTTGCAGTAATATCGGCACTACGGTCTGATCTAAATACTGTCTGGTTGGTAGAGATTGCACTTCGACACGAGGTTTCTTTGCTGGTACACCAGACAATTCGCCATCCTTATCCATCCCTATCACTTTCTGCAATGAAAAAGAATACAAAGTTTATACATTTATAAACAATTTTTTCAAAAGCACTTAATAATTAAAGAATTGTAATATCTGCGTACATTTTAGAAATTGCTGTTGTACGTGTAATTCTTAGTTTCGAAACGCATGCTCCGAATTTGCAAAATATTAGTGTTCCAGCGCGACAGTTGTTATCAGCTGGCAAACGTCAGATGATAAATACGACAAGGACGCTGCTCTGACCGTCTTAAACAGTCCCTAACCTAACCTAACCTTTGCGCCGTGAACGCGTGAATTCTGAAATGTATCGGCGTATTATTGCCGTGGTAAATACGCTCGGCGGTAACTCGAACGAAATATCACCGTATGTTCGTGCGTGCCAGCAGTTGCGACGTTTCTAGGTTATGTGGCTCACTTACGTGGGTCGTCTCGGATACGGCATTGGCAACGGGTTGAGCCGGCGTTGACGCCTCCGTCCGTTCCTCGGTCGCGTTTTCTGTCGTTAAAAAAAAAGTAAACAGTAAATGACCGTTATTAGAGCGTGATTTCGAACATCGGGCCTGGCCGAGCGATGGCCGGACCGGCCCATGGTTACGCGGAAATAGAAAATAAGAACACGTACCACCGCCGGACGCCATCGTGTAAACAATCGTCACTGCCGACCGACCGACGTCGAACGTCGGGATAATGTCGCCAACGTCAGGCCGGTAAAATGCGCCGTCGACAAGGTAGCGGTTTGAGAATTCGCTACTGTAAATCAAAGGACCGAAGAAATTAATAATAAATAATATTTAATGAAAATTCACCGTGAGATATATTCAAATACAAATGAGCGAGAAAGGCGCCGCTGTTTAGTCAAAACGGCCAATGATATTTTTGATACCTTATATTATGAAAACAAGTTCTTTAATTTTTATTACAAAACAAGTTCTTTAATTTATTAATTAATGAATTAAAAAACGTACACATTTTGCGGAGTAAAGTTGCATTTGCGAATAGTGAGATTGATCTATCGATGAATTTAAAAAATACTTATCTTGTAATATTTTTATACAATTAATTATATTTGTTGCTCTTGTTGAAACACAATCCTAAACTGAAGCTGGAGTAAGGTAAAGTGGACTGGTTGTGACACTTTTCATTCAAATTACTATAAATCTTTACACAATTATGATAGAACAATGAGATTTGCTTTAAAACATTGTATTAGACAATAATTACGTATTTATAAGTCCTTAATATATTTCGTAAATGAGAAAAAAATTTTTGTTGATTAAAGAGACAAAGTAGCTCGATGGATCGCATAGGGTATATTGAGCAATCTCAAAGAATAAATTGAGCCATAAAGATAATTATTTAATAAAATTATATATTAATAAAACACATATTAATAAAATCTTTTTATGTCTTATATGTATGATAATTTATAATAATTTCTTAATTAACAAAATTAAAAAAAACTAAAACTTTACTTTTTTTAAATTAAATAAAAATTAAATATATATCTTTGATTATTAATATAAAATAAACAACATCAATAAAGACAAATTTTATTTAAGTATCTGAGTTTATAAGATAGTTATGGAATCTTTGGCCTAGCAAATCTCATACCGGTGTCAACTGAAATATTCTTTTATAATTAAAAAAACTGTAAATAAAATAGTAATTTGAATATCAAAGAATGTACTAATAACTTAAAAAAACACATATAGTTTTTATCAATTACTTCAATTACCATATAGACCAGAAAAAATATTTACCTAATAATTTTAATTTTGCACGAAAGTGAAAAAGTGCTCGTGTTCAGCCGTTGACAGATTAATATATTCAGCGCAGTAATTTCCGTCTTCGTGCTATTTTACGCAAGCATATAGACATATCCATATATATTTTACTTGCACATTTCTATTTCTCTTATTGCTCCTTGGCTCAACAAGTCCCGCTCTCTACCCTACGTGTAGTATTAAAAGTTAATTAATAATTACAAATTCGACCGAGGCATTATGTATCTCAGTTAATGCTAAATATTTTTGAAATATTCATAAAATATTTCTAAAATCCTAAAATAATATTTCAAGATTATTCCGGTATATTTCAAAATATTTGCAGAATGTCAAAACAATAAATTCAAATAATCGTTAAATATTTCATGTATATTCACATAAATCGTTACACATTCGGAGAATGTTCCATACATATTCCACAAGATGATAACTTTCCCAAAAATTCCAGGTCCCGCAGAATTCATTTTTAAACAGAATTGTACTGTCAAAAACACATTTCATTTATTTTCACCTTGGAACCTAATTTTAGAGGCTCAATTCACAGGCGAAATGTTACACTTTATATTCTTTCCCATTATGATTCTTATTTACGAGTTAATGCAACTCTGCCACATCCATCTGTCAACGGGAATGCGCACTACTCGCAAGTGAGTGATTTTAATGATATATACAAGAAACGTTCATACAATATCCAAATATTTCATTATTATTTGAATATTCCTGTTCTGTTTTGGAATATAGGAACCATTTGGAATACAAATTGATTTTATAAATATTTAGCATTAGCTGGGACAGTAATAGTGAACAAAATAATAATAATAATATCTTTATTGAAGCGTATAAATAATAAAAATATTTATTTTAAAAAATAACTTGAAAGAATGAATTGTTTGTTTTAACGTAACTACAATAAATTCGACATATGAAAAATATAAAAAAACGTGTTAAAAAATATTTAGAATGTTACGGTAGTATACAAGTAGCCAATTTCGAAGCGTCATTTTTAAAATTGATGCATCGGATTGGTTGACGCAACAAACTTACGACCTGTGACTCGCATTTTGCGTCTTATGTAGATCGGGCTTATACGTCTGTTCTTGTATGCAGAATAACTAGAGAAATTATATTTAAAAGAAATAATTTTATTTGTAAAAAGTAAAAAACCAAGTTGACTTTGAAATCTCTGAAGCGTCCCCATCTGCATAAATAAATACAAAGATATTTAAGATAGTAATAGTTATTGAAACACAAATGTTTATAGCAAACATTTCTAGTTTTGTTATAAATAATTGATAAAGGATTGAAAAGAAATACGAAACGACGATCATTTTAAGGTTTATTTATTCAACGCAAAGTTAGATGCTACAACTTTGGTACAAAAACATAAAATAGTGGCGTTGAGAGGAAACGGTACACTGCGAGCGGATCCTCGAGTCTCCTCGAACGCGGACGATGTTGCGCGTTTTTTTTTTTTTTTTTTTTTCTTTTGGTTACTTTTCCACTATCCACTATCAAACGTGAGATCACGTTCCCGCGAATTCTTTCGCACGTACGCGAGGATCGTCAAAAGGACGCGAAGGAAACGCTTCGGGTTTGACAGGCAACGCGATCAGCGATGGTAAGGAAGGAATGAATGGAAAGGGGGAGAGAACACGAGCTCGAAGAACCGCGCTCGCCGTCGTACGAAAAGAACAGCCAAATGCTTTCAACGCAATATTATCAATCAAGCATACACAAGCGAGCGACACGCTTCGCGGCGTCCCTCAAAAAAGTAACGTCGAATCTTGCAAAGAATTACTACGCAGTACCTATATATATAACGTCGATCACGAGAAGCGCGACGAGCGAACGATGGGCACGGGGGGTATCCGGCAAGAAAGGCACGAGGACGGCGCATATGTCAATGCTCTACTGTGTGGAAGTACACAAAAAGTAACCGCGAGTGTGCAATGAGATGGATGAAGCAAACATGGACGTAAAATTCTCAGTCTTTGAGTATTACTCATCATCGTCGCAACGTTCCAGCTGCGAAAAACATTTGATGTTTAGCCGAAGTTAATCGCGAGGATCGATATTAAACAGCTGATTTATCTGCACTAAAATGTGCCTCGTTCATAGCCCCTTTTGCCGGTCACCCCGGGCCGCTTACAACATAAACGTTTATCACCTGTGCGACGTCGCGGACGTCCACTTCGCTTAAGAGAAAAGTTAAAAACCGCGACCAAGGTAGCGCGCGGACGTGATCGTATTACTATATACGAATGCATTAATATCATCATCATTGTTATCATCATTGTTATCGGCCTGTGCCGTATTAGCTCTGGTTAGATTCGGAAGCGATTCGAAGCGACAAAGTTTCGCGGGGGCGAGTTACGTGAGTAGAACGTGATACTGTAAATCGTAAAGGGTGATTTGGGACGAGATACGGCTACGTTAATTACGGTAAGAGCGCGATTGTAACATATACACGAGACACGAGGCTTCTTGCGCAGCCTTTTAAAATCACATCGATGAGTAAAAGTGCGTTGGCGCGTCGAGCCGCAACCAGTTTCGAGTGGCAGAGGGTAGGAATTCCTCTGCGAGAGCAGAAGCGACTCGAACGGACTCGAAGCACCCTTCTATTCGAACCTCTATTTCGAAAATTCTCTCTTTACAGCCTATGTGTGCGCATTTTTACAGTTTTAACCTCATCCCACACTCACAGAGGAAAGACGTAGTAAGCAGCAATGCTCTATATTATGTAGAGTTCATGTACGCTCGTATAAACTTGAATAACTATTTTATAGTCATTGCAATTATAAAATAGTTTATTCAATTATGTCTCGATACATTAGTTCTACATAATACAAAACCCGTATAGTCACTATATGTTTGTCTCTGAGTGCAGTGAGTAATAAAAAACGAATGGCAGTATCAATTTAGGCCGTACTAATTGCGGCTTGAATGAAATTGACTTTAAAATGTCATTAGCACCGGAATAATAATATCAAGTAAATTTCACAAAATATTTTCTTTCGATCGATGTAATAGATTGGATGAAATGAGTTAATGACAATCACATCAACAAGGAACAATAATTCACAAGATGAGAGTTGAATACGCGGGAATATAATTGATATCCACGTGATGGTAATTTTTCGAGAGTGTTTCTTGGTCCGGTCGCCCAACTGGTAGTCGGCTCGCGCATCGCCTCGGCAAACAAATGCGACACCTAGAAATAGCTACTTACAACGTATGTATGTATATATAGTTAGTGTATATATAATATATATTTATATTTATATTTGTATGTATATATCTAGAAATAGTATCGTGATAAAAACGAACTATGAGACGCGGCGTCGTGGCCGCGGCGTTGCGCGACGTCGGGCTGGTGCATACGCGAAGAAGTTCGAGAAGCATCCGCTTCGTTCATCGAACCAGCAAAAGATCAATCGTCCGATCGCGGACCGTCGATCTTCGATTTGCGTCCTGAGGTATACGTTCCGTCAACCAGATCCCGACCTCTCGCCCCGTCGCGATAATCAACGATCGCCTTCTCGCGACCATCCGTCCGACTTACAAACTATCTACGTTAAACCAACTTCTTTTATTACTCGAATCGCTTACACCTGTAACGATCATCGTCGCGATGTCAGTGAATCTTACGTACGGTACGTCGCGTAATTGATCGATATGGGGGGGGGGGGGAAGGGGAGGGGGAATAATTAGGTGTATACAGCGGACTAAATATTTATAATATATCATATAGGACGACAGCAAGTGTAGTGTGGCGTATATTGCGTGCACGCGCCAGCGCGCGTGGCGATCATGTATATCGTAATGTTGTGAGGCTCTGGCTGGCCTGCCGTGTGTATATCGAAGCGTTCCCTCGATGGCTTGCCGCCTTGTTCTTCCTACGGACAGTCGATCGGTGTTTCGTGTATATAGGAAACTTATTCCCTTTCGAGCGAACAATATGGGAATGTCTCGAATCGATCGCCTAAACGGATCGCTACAAGGACGACGACGATGACAGCGACGACGAAAGACGAAAATGCGACGACGTACCCTATAAACCTTGCTCTCCGCGACGTCGAGACCACGAGACTCAAGATCACCGATCGTCAAGGGGGCTAAAGGGCGAAAAGGGTGAAAAGGGCGAAAAGGGGCGGGGACACAACCTTCGTTACGAAATTATAAATCGTACAGTATATGTATATAGTATATGTGTACGTATGTATCTATATATCGTACGCCCGCAGGGAGCGGCAGTGTGGCACAACCATGACTTAAAAAGCGACCAACTAATCTCATGTATACGCATATATGTCGTTTATACGTTTCCTTTCTTTCTTTCTTTTTTTTTTTTTTCCATTATCCTTCGCAACTCCTGCGACGAATGTAACCTAGGATTATATCCTGGATATATATTGTATATCAGAAGAGACCCCCGTTAAATCCACCGTCGCCGAGAGCACCATCGCGGGCCGCGTCTCTGCCGCAACTAAACAGTCCGCGAACACGACTTCCGGCTGTGTTCGCCTTCCTACAGGACAAGTCTCTCGCGGCAGTCTCACGAGCCTCCAAGATCTCGCGCACGTTCGACGATATAGTGCGAAAAGATTCAAATTCCCCTCAGTGTCTCGAAATATTTCGTCACGTGTGTGTGTGTGTGTGTGTGTGTGCAGAGATAGACGATTAATTTATAAGTTCGTGTCGTCAAGTATACATTTATCAAATTATTGAGTCTGATCGCACGTCATCGAGGAAGACATGTATCAAAACGCAGGTCATTTTCTACAGCTATCGGTATCAAAAAAATTTCAGATGTAATCGGACGTGCGCGAGGAGTTCTAGGACTCGTAAAAGAGTTACGAACGAAGTGTGGCTGACCTCACGAATCGCTGTGCCTCCTTCGCGGTAAGGGCAGTAGAGTATACAGACAGTCTTGAGTTTGGTCTTCTCGAATGCGCATAATCGACTAAACCGGTCCAAAAAGGTTTCTCAAAAACAAGGCAGTTTCAAGTTGGCCTTCCCCCAGGATCAAATATAAACGAACGTACCCGAGGAAGTACAATGAAAGAGCGGAAGGCCGTGAGCGAGAGAAAGAGAAAAGTCGTGTGATATGGTCGCAAGAGCGAAGGAGGCGGTCCCATTTCGCGAGGCGGGCTGCAGAATCCTCGTCCGTAATCGTATGATCTCGAGATGATATCAATACGCGTACACCTTACACGGTAATCGAATCTATCTACTCGCGACGACGTCTCTAATTTCTATCGTAAATCGTTGCAAATTGGACCGACGACAGCACCGGGGGAAGAGTTAGCGTGCGCTTCATTTCCGCGTCTCTCGGCTCCTTTCCTCGCGGCCGCCGCGCCGGCTATCGAGAGAGGCGGAAGACCACGGAAGATGACGATTTACAGGTTACACTGCCACAGTATCGTAGGGTGTGAGGAGTCCCCCGTGACCGCCGTGGGGGCCGCCGGTTTGCCGGCCGGGAGCTTCGTTTCTGCAACAGGAGTTTGCGTTTTTTATATCCGACCCCGATCGATCATTTTACCACGCAACAAACCACTCATTCGTTCAAAGAGATCTCTCCCGCGCCATTTTTTATTGTATGTGCAATAAATTTTAAGCAAATCTTTCATTATATTTATGTTTAGCATTACAAACATTTGTTTAGCTTCGTATCACTCCCTTACTTTAAAAGTGACACAATTAAAAAACATGATTCTCTAGATGTTACTGTAAATGAGTTAGAATTGTTAGATAAACGTTACTTTATCAATCATCAAAAGTGAACTAAAGTAACTTTATAAAAAATTATTAAAATCATCAAAACTTAAAAAGGATAGTTAAAAAAAATCGTCACAACTAAAAAAAAAAATAGTTTAAAAAATTATCACAATTCAAAAAGGGTAGTTTTTCAATGATCGTGAAAATAACATTTAATCATATTAAAGGTATATTCTTTCTGCACAATATTATATATTCCCTGATTAGTCAATAATTTTCTATTAAATTGAAAAGTTGTTTTTCTACTTTTCCGAGAAACTTCATTTTTGTAATTGTATCACTTTTGAAGTAAAAGAACAATACATTAACTGCTACATCAGAGGAAGAGATCTCTGCACGCAAATTGTACGAAAACATGCACTATAACAACTAGCAACGACGATGGCAGTGATAATGCTATGAATAAACAAAATATAATAATGACGATTGTAAACATGTCAGTCGTTAGCGGCATAAGCAAGGCCTCCGAATAGGGTTCGAAAAGCGGTGACAATAGCAATAGCTGCAGTGGAAATACGATCAGCTCGTATTATCCCTATTGCACATTTTAGCTTTGCATTAGTTACACAACTACACGTTACACATGGCATTATTCATTAAAGCTACATGCGAACACATTTCAAGTTAGTAAGCGTTTTCGATGGAGATTGGGGACTTTGTCATGTCCGAAAGCAACGTTTTGAAAGGTCGTCTACTCTGCTCGTCGCAAAACAAATCGGGTAGCCGAACTTCAATGGGATGATGAAAATCAGTGGAAAAATGATATGACGCATCTCAAAAGCTCTTCACATATGTCTTTTAACGTTTGTACATCCTGACTTGATTATGTTTAACGAACTTACGGCTTCCTGAGTAATTAGTCATGAAACAAGAAAAGATCAAACGTTCGTTAAATAGATAAATAGTTGGGTATTCGAGGCTCTTCGAAGGTCGAACCACCGTGCCCTCGATCGTTGTCAATCGACAATTCAATCGCGCACAAATAATCAAGTATATATAGTATAACGAAGATATGTAGCGAGGATGCGAATCGAAAGGATCGATCGGTAGCGTGATTCTTTTAAAGAAAAATTGAAAATCATGGAGGCGAATCGGATTGCGGTCTATGCCGCGGTGAGCGATCGTGATACATCGCTCGATTCGGAAAACGCCCGTGGGACATTTTGTCACGGTACAATACACGGTAATTACAGCTCTCGCGAAAGTAAAATCGCTCGAGACACAGCGGCAGGAACGGTGTAACGCCATTAAAACCGTTCACCGTTAACCAAGCTCACTCGCGCTCTACTGACCTCTCAATGAGTTTACGCATCTCCTCGGTGGTCATGCCGTCCTTGCCGCGAGCATTCACTGAAATAGAAAAACACACGGCACGATTGACACAACGATTAAACTACTACGACAACACGTAACATGCAATTTGTGGAAAACTATATAAACGATTAGGATTAAAAAGGACGAAAAAAAAAAGAAAGAAAAACACATAAGTCCACGGCGAGTCTTCTTCATTCGCGACTCGCCCGCCATGCGATACGTCCGCATAATGAGCCGCCGTACGCCTAATAATGCTTAATGCATAATGAAACGAGCATCAGTATAGGTAGGGCTGAATCAGAACGAGATCGTTCCTCGAGAGGGAACATGTCACCGGACGCAAGATTCGAGCGGGAAAGGCGAGCTTTACGACTTCCCCGTCGGATCAGGTCGAGCTTCATGGTCTCCCTCGTTCGCTCGTTCTCTCCGAGCTGTCGTGAATCTTTCTACTGACCGCCGTAGTTGCGGTTGACAAGCTGATCGCGATCACACTCGGCCTCGCTGATCTCGTTGCTCTCCTTGCTATCGTTGAAGCTGGAGTTATTCTGATCCTGGTGGTTTCTCGGCGGTGGTGGAGGTGGTTCCGGCGAGCCAGAGATGGGAAGGTTGCGAGCCGAGCCTACGCTACGACGTCCGACCGATCCGCGAGATCCGTAATGATCGTAAGGTGCGCCGTATTGTCCGTACTGTGATCCGTACTGGTCTTCCTCGGGAGCGCAGTTTGCCGGATCGTCGTATTCGGGTGAAAAGACATTGTGCGTGCCGCTGCCGCCTCCTTGGGATGGTACTCGAGAGTAGCGACCGTTTTGACGAGGCTGTGGGAAAAATCGATCGCGATTCCAGCGATAAAATTATATTACTGATGTACTGTCTCTATTATTTTTTTTATCTTTTTCTTTATTTTTTATTTTTCCTTATATATTTCTTTTTTTAATTTTTTGCACTTTTATGCACACAGTATATCTTATTGTTGGATGTTTTTTAAGTAACGTATTTATTAATATTTTTTTTCAAAGCCTCTTCACTGTCAGTGATTTAATGCCATTTTTACAAAAATATCAGAAATCTTTTAATATTTGTAATCTAATTCACGAATATACGTTGCTTATTGTTTAAATAAAAAAAAGATTTATAAAATACCATAGACTGAGATCCAGAGCGGCTATGAGCAGAAGCGTTAGTCGGATGTCCTACGGGTGGTCCCATAGTGCCAGAATGGCCATTTCCTGGATGAGGGAAGGTCTGGAATTGCATAGCTTTGCTCGGGTCCATTTCCTCACGGAATCCCAATAAATGGAACGTAGCATACGGGCAGATCTCATCCTCCATACCTAAAAAAGGACAATCAATCAGGGTAGACTCCGTCACTATAGATGGAAAATCTACGAGACATTGTTGAACAATACATATTGTTATAAAGATTGCTTCCCGTGTGTAAACTTTGACTTTAACAGCAATTTCTAATACAGTTTGATTAAGAATGGAATCGAAAAAAAGATTTGCAAGCAATCCTTACTATTAATTCTACATGCATCTTATATCCAGATTTAAACGACCAAAGAAATTCCTTTTGCCCCCTTTAAATGCTTCTTCTTTCTTCGATTCTCATTCTATTAATATGAATCGTTAAACCTTCAAAAATTGATCGTGCATTAAAAATGTATTTAAATAAATTTGAGTCCAATCATTTTATCGATTATTTACATAATCTTTGTTATACAACATTATACGTAAAATAATGTTATATTCAAGATTGGAGTAAAAGTAACGCGTTACTATAATTATTATATCATTAGTAAAAGGTTTTCTTATTTATAACGTTAATGGTTATATTCTTGAATGAATATAACTATTACTTTATACGCGTGTAAAATATATATGTGGTATACACACAAAACATAGATAAGAGAGTTTTTTGACCATATTGCGATAAGTCATGATCACTATAGATCTTGTGTTGAATCGGTCAGTTAGTAACATTGACATAGACAATTCGGTCACTCTAAAAAATACTTATGATCATAAAAATTCGGTAAAAAGTAACGGAAATTGTAACAACTGTAATAACTTTTTTTTTAGTATAAACGATAATGGTGATAAGTTAAGACATTTTAGAATCAGTAATGAATAACGGTAACACACACACAAGATATTTTTATAAAGTAACTTTCCCAACTTTTGCTATAGTCTTCAATTAATTAGATTGCGTTCGAATATTTGCTGACAGTACTAAAAATCTATAACATATATTACGTATAGATTTTCAGTACTGACAATGAATATCGCAGCCGTAATCATTTTTTAATTTTAATTATATATTTGATTTAAAATATTCAAAATTCCTCTTATCCATCCTCTAAAAATCCTAAAAATCGATATGACGGACATAGAGACTTCTATCTTAGAAAAGATAATGTATGAATGAATGTAATTCCTCCCTATATGTGGTTCGTGTTATCTGTCGGCGTGCTATGAACGCAGGCATGCGGAAACGTGCAAACATCGAGAAACGAGACGTGCCGTTAAAATGATGTAAGGTTTCACGAAACGAGAGAGAGGGGACTTACGAAGACCGGCTGGTACGAGCCAGCAACATCGCCGGCTCCGGCCTGCGATTATCAGTCTCTAGGGCGATCGGGCGAATGCCGAATGCCCGTTAACCAAATTTGCTATTACCAACCTCTGTGCGTAAGACCATCCGCGCTGCCCATACGTGGTGGTGGTGGTGGGCATCTCCTATTGGGCGCGTAGTGACTCAATTCCTCATACATGTGTCGCCTCGGATCCCACGTCGAGTGACTCCTTAATGAGCCAGTTCCACCTATCGAACACATACTACAAAGGTCGTACGACACGCTGGTGCCTATCAAGATTCGTTCCCGCCAACTAATAGCCCTGTTCTCTTTAAAGAGTTTAGAGAATTCGAGCTCTGGGGAAAAGGTACTCTTTATTTTTGCTTTTTTTTCTAACGTTTAATTAATACGCAAATTGATACAGTCGACACTCGTTAGGCACCAACGGCGTGATAAGCGCAAACAAGTAGGAACGAACGTTATGTTTTCGCTGGAGGGACATACAAACTCGGTAACGTATATAAGAACATTTCAAAGCATGGCGAACGAAAAAAGAAACTGGCATTGATCGTGTATATGGGTTCTGTCTGGCTTGGGGATCTGTCCGACACTGACTGGGAGCCTATCCTGGGAACCTATGTATGTGCAAATCTCGATGTGTATCCCTTGAGAAAAGATGAAAGAAGGAACTATCGTGCCGATGCGACAACAACTAGACAAGTTGAAATTGATCTAAAAGGAAAGTGTTGGCAGTTGGGCTTACTTATAACTGTACCTCGCTTGATACGATCGCAGGTGTTGTAATTTGAGCCGGGTACAGGTGGAAGCTTGCGATTCGGAGGTGCGATGTATCCCAATTCGTCGCGAAGATCAGATCTGCGTTTGTCCAAGGTAGCGCCGCCAACTCCGGTTTGCTGGTAGACTACGTCGTCTGAAATAAAAACGCTCAATCTAATAATTGTGGATGTACGTACATTTTGATACTTTTGATCTTATTGTCGACGAATTATATTGATTATATATGCCATCACCCACGCTTGTGAAATAAAAGGAAAACGTAGGGAAGAGGAAAATTCTGAAATTTATAAATATTCGGAGAGGATTTCAAGACTAGGGTGGTCGACGCGTGGATCGATCGTCAGGAAATCATCACGACATTACAAAATATAATATGGTTATGATAACATCTATGACTGACGATTGTGACACTTTTCTCGATCAGCTAATTGAGAATATCGTTGCAATTTCGTATTCATCGCAGTTTCGTTTCCCGATGAACCTCCACCGTCTTTATGCGACTTAACAAGTAAAAGTAATTAAAAAAAATTTGTATACATTGTCCCTCGTAATATTTCTCGTCGGCTGAAGAGATACCTCGCAGCCGTGTTTGTTCCGGGCCTCGAGTTCTTCTCGAGAGCGCCACGCAAATGACAACTATTCCTACTATTATAACAACGACCGTCGCGCCAACTGGCACCACCACGTTTACGTCGAGCCAGTTGGGTAACCATGGGAAATACCGTCTCACATCCGCAGTGTTGTCATTACCACCATTACGTATGGGAGGTGCGATCGTACCTGTTTAAAGAAGAAAATATATTTATAATGATTACCTTTATCGCTACTGTGACCCTTCCCCCTGAGAACGCAGATCACAATGACGGCAACGATTATTACGAGTATGGCTGCTACCACAGGTACGACCAGATTTAAGTTAGCCATGAAAATTTTCATTGGGTCTTCATCGTTGCTACCACCGTTCACGTCCGGCAGCTCGCGGGCCGGTGCAATGGTGCCTGGAACAGAAAACGTTTCGGCGACCGTTCAATCCAGCCACCATTGGCACCGGCTACGAGGCGCCGCTGTGTGTCAGACGACCACCCATACTTACCGCCAGTCACCGTCAAAGTCGCAAATTCATACTCGGCCACGGCGAAACCTGCATTATTGTGAGCCGTAACACGCAAATGGTACCAGCTAGCGGGGTCCAGATCCAATACTACAAAGTTACCGCCTGGTTTGACGTTGTTCGAAACTTGGTTCCATTCCTGCTGCATTCTGAAGAAAACATGCGTCTTTAATTATCAATCTTGATATTGGATTGGATATTTGTCGTATGATTATCCTTTCATCTTACTTCTTCTTGTGTTCAACAACGAAATACAACATGGGGCAGCCACCATCTGACCAGGTGCTCAAATGCAAAGAGATGCTATTCGTGGATACCTCGATGAATTTCGCCGCTTCGGGGATGATTGGTTTGGAGCCCTTTGTGCGCGTGTTTAGAATGTCCGAGGGATCGCCGATTCCAATTCTGCAAGAACACTCACATATGTGTGAAATTTCTTATTACAAAAATTGCTATGATTTTAGCAGTAAAGTTACCCGTTATAAGCGGTGACATAAATCTGATATCGGGAACCGCACCACAGATTCTCGAGTGTATATTTCTGTGCTGTGGAACTGATCTGAACGGTTTCCCAATCGCCAAACTCAGGTTTGTAGTGAATCGTATAGCCATGAATCGGTGCATTGTCCGTGGGATGCGGGCGTAATTTCATCGTCAAAGAGTTGGTGGTGGTGGCGGTAAGGGTAACTTGAGGTGAGTGCGGAGGAGCTGTGAAAATATAACATTAATTTTAATATAACGGATAATTAAAATCAGTAATTAGAACTTTCATGTGTTAGAATATTTATGTACCGTGGACGACCAGCTGATGAGTTACGGTATCATGTCCAAAGGAGTTTTCCACGTAACAAGAATATTCTCCAGCGTCCGCGCGATCGACTTCCTTGATGAATAGCGATCCCTCGGGTAATTGCTTCAATCGTTCGGTTGTTTGAAGATTAGCTCCTCGTACCTTCCATGTTACTTCCGGTGCGGGTACACCGACAGTGAGACACGGCAGTTTAACGTCCTCTTTGTATGTTGCAGTGAACTTATCATCGAACGATGCGATCTTGGCCGGTACTGTAAGTAAAGTATGAAGTTTACAATACTTTTTAATTTAAAACAGACCATGAAAATTTGTAATCGATTCACAAATTTAATTTGTTACAACTAAAATGTGAATTTTGAATGAAGAAATTACCTCGAACACTTGGTCCCAAAGTCACAATCTTGGAAGCTTCACCTTCACCAATATTCGTGCTAGCGGTCACCCAAAATTCATATCTTTGTTGCTTGTCTAATCCAGACGCTTCGTGAGTTAGTTGATTTGGTGGTACTTTCTGACTGGTTGGCTCCTCTGCATTGTCTGCTTTCGTATAAACAGTATACTGAGAAATAACTCCATTAGGTTGGCTGGGCGGACGCCATGAGATAAGAATGGATTCCGAAGACATGACTAAAGCTTTGATAGCAATAGGAGCTTCGGGTGCTGAAAGTAGACACGGAACATGTAATATATTCAAAAATATGTGCTTTCGCATATAATAAACCAATATATTAATTAATTTCTTAATTACCATCTTGCTCAGTTTGGCAGTGAATTGGTGCAGACTTAACGCCGTCTCCTCCAGATGTGAAAGCCAGAACTTGCATGCTGTAGTTGGTATATTTCTTGAGACCGTGCAGAATGGTCTCGCTAGAAGATGTAATCTTGGTGTCTTTCGTATTCTCGTCGTACCACGTATCGGACGGTCCATAAATGACCTAAAGCAAATATTTAAAGATGCTACTGCAAATGGTTTTATGCCTCCCTCTCGAGTCATGTTTTTACTAACTTTGTAACCGGTGATAACGCCGTTTGCCGCGCTAAGTGGCGGTGACACCCAAGACACTCTGATAGTCTGAGAAGTAAGAGTTGTGCAAGTAGTGTCATGAGGCGGTTGCTCGGGCACGCCTTCTGCGGTATGTTGCCTACGTTCCTCGCTCATTGGTCCGGAGCCGACTTTATTAAATGCTTGAACGACCACGCCGTACTGGGTGTAAGTCTTGAGGTTTGCAATCTGCAAGTGGTGCTCCTTTATGTCTTCCTTGGAGAAGTCGACAGTCTCAAACATGTACGGCTTGTCCGACGACTGTCTGTATCCAACATAGTAGCCGAGAATCTCACCGTTCCAGTCCTCGCGCGGAGGCGGTTTCCACGTTACCTGATGGAATTTACATTTATTACATATATATTCCTAGACGCCTATACAGCACACAACGTTCCAGCAATAACATTACAAATATTGCTGAAACACTCTGTATATGGACTAATTACAATACAATTGTTTTACTTACCTTGAGCGTGTGTTGATCGAGAGCATCCACCTTAATGGAAGTTGGCGGGCCGGTAGGTGCTTCTTCTGCGGTGATAATGGTGACCGTGTCAGATGGATCAGATGTGCCAATTTCGTTTTCAGCGACGATTCGAAGATGGTAGGTGGTCGCGGGTCTTAGATTGTACACTCCGGCTACGTTCTGTTGCGATCCAGGTACGAGCACTCGATCAATATCAGTTTCCCAGGAACCCTTGCTAATTTTGTATTCAATAACATATCGTTTAATCGGGCTGTTTCCATCATAAGGTGCGGCCCATGATAATTGCACCGAACGTCCTGATTTATCCAACACTTTAAGACCATATGGAACTTCTGGCACCTCTATAATAAATACATAAATTGGATCGTGACTTTACATATTTTGTTGATTTATCAAACATGTTATGTATAATTATATGAACCAACCTTGTACGATCATATTAATGCTAGTGTCATCACTACCGAAGGCATTCGTGGCTACACAAGTGAACAAGGCAGAATCGCTTCTTTCGGTTCGTTTGATGCTCAAGTCGGACAATACTCCGTTAGCCAAGATTTCTTCACGAATAGTATAACGAGGATCGCTCTTCGTATCCAATCTCTTGTTGTTCATGTTCCATAAAATGCCGATTGGTTTCTCTCCTTGCGCCTCGCATTGCAATACAGCCGGTTCTCCACGACGAGCGGTTTGATTTCTTAGTTTAATTTCAAATTGCGGAGGAGCTAAAAAGATATTGCAAAAAGTTGTATAAAATGCAATAGAAATTACAAGATGCAAAACGACTAAACGTGAAATACCTTGAACCGAAATAAGAATGACAGCTGATAAGCCTGATCCAATTCCATTAACAGCCTCACAAAGGTAATAGCCTTCATTCGTCTTTTGTATATTGTTAATAGAGAGAGTGCCATCTTCCACGCTAATGTCAGGGTTGCTCAATTTCAAATCGGTATAATCTCCAGGCGTATCCCCTATAAGATGAAACAGACGTGTATAATAAGTGTATGCAAGTAGAAAGATTTACTATTTGTTAGGCTGCGGTTGCTAGTGTATTTACCAGCAGCTCTCTTCCATGTGACCTGAGGCTTGGGGAATCCGTCGGCTTTGCATTCTACTCGTGCATCGGATCCTTGAGCAAATGCTTTATCGGTAGGTTCCAGAATCCAACGAGGAGGTACTGTTACAGAATAAATAGATTAGCCGCGATGTATTTTTGCGTACATAACATTGTTCAGTATCCAGGAGCCAGTCGCTTGAAAACTCGAGTCGTTTGCTTTTCAAAAGTCTCAAAACTTATTATTTATAGTAATAAAATTATTATCTAAAGTTTAATTGATTTAGACAAGTGTATTAATTACAGTAATAATAGACTATATTGTTTGCTTTCTTTAAGAAATATTTTATGAAATTTAAAGAAACAACAATGAAAATAAATTGAAAAAATGAGTTTTTGAATTTTGTTAAAATTGAGTGTCTGTATTTAAAATAAGTTGATAAAATTGCTGCTTAGCATTTATTCTTATATAAATATCAGATATTAGAAATAGTTTTAATATTGTTAAATGTTGAAGACTCGAATTGTGTAGCAATTTTGTCGCATGCAGAACAAAACGCGACACGCTCCTGCTACTGCGATGAATAAAATACACGGCATGCGGGATTCTGAAGTGATTATGCGGGTATCTAATGCATGGAATAGAGAGATAGAAAGTGGAAGAGAGAGAGAGAGAGAGTAGAGAGAGAGACAGACAGAGAGAGAGAGAGAGAGAGAGAGAGAGAGAGAGAGAGAGAGAGAGAGAGAGAGAGAAAGGAGTTGCATGCAAAAAAGAGACTTTGAAGGAACCTAACGGCGAGCATGCACGAAGCGCTATCGAATTTGTATTCGAGCACGGTACATCATGCTGTACCGCGTTTACTAATAACACTCGATTACGCTCGTTCATGTATATAAATGCATGCATATTAAGTATCTACGCTACATACGCGTCTACAAAATGAACAAGGCAAAATGTGTGATGAGAGATGGTCGAGGAAGGGCGTGTTTGGGGGAATCCATTCGTGGGTATAGGGTTGTGATGAATTGATCGTGGGGTGAATTCTGAGATGTGGTTGGATGGTCGGTCGGTCATCATAGTACAAGGACGCATTTTAGCGCGAATGGGGGGTACGGTGAGGTATAAATCGACACTCGAACGTACACGAGACGGATCACATGCAACTTGCATGTGAAACCTACGCAATCCTGCGATCACAAAAAGTGGTATTTAAATCGTTTGTGCTACGGGAATGGCGAACGCGTTCGTGAAGGATGTAGAAACGCGATGAGATTCGCGTGCGAAAGGAAAATACATCCTGTCGCGTTATTTCGCCGCAGGGATGATCGAAGCCAACGTAAAAAGTCGCATAAGAGCGGCTGACGATGAGAGCAAAATAAACGAGGAAAAGGCCAACGGTTCGGCAAAAGCTGTTGATTCTCAGAGCATGAAGGATATTCGGATTGATCTTCGCTCGCTGGAAATACCGGCAGATACATAGTAAAGAGGAAATTACAGCGGTGAGAAGTAAGTATAGATAGAGACAGAAAGAAAGAGAAAGAGAGGCAGAGAAAG